TTGGTCATGGCCAACCCTTAAGACCAAGAGTGACCTTTTTCTAGACTTTTGTAATATAAGTATTAAGTTCATTATTTAATTAATAATCTGATAGAATGTTACCATAAATGCAACTCTTATCTGTTCCTGTAAATAAAAACAAGGCGTAAAAGTAGTAAATTTTCAGCTGTAAACTGTATGAAGTTGTCTTCTAAATATTACTGGCAATCACAATTAGATTCCGTATGGGCTTTGTTAAAATATTTACTCCTCTTGAGTATTTAAATTTGGGTACAACTTTTTCGAATTTCTAACTCTTTTCATTCTTTGTACTTGCATGAAATGTATGTTGATTATTTATATTCCCTTTTAGAAATGTTTACACATTTAAAACTTAACTAAATAGGCAAAATAAATAAAATACTGACTAAGTAAATCAATATGTAAATAAAATGAAAAGTATGTATCATTTATTTGAATGAAGGGAAAAATTTTTATCAAAACAAATGTTTGCACTATTTGAACTTTTAAGTACACAAAAAGGGTCTTTTTGTACTTGCACCTATTACTTAATAAAAACCAACCACCATTGTGTGTTAAATTTATCAAGCTTTATCGAATATTACAAGTAAATTTACTTTATTAAGACTGATTTCTAAAGTGTACCAACTTCGATTTACTGATCCAACACACAATCACTCTAATTGACACCGCTTTACGAACACCATCAAATTTCCGATACAAGTTTTCCCTTCCCTTTTGTTTATTTATGGCTCCAAGTCCATCATTACGCCAATAAACAGCCATTAGCGAAATAAATACTCACGCAAAAAATTGTAACAGCTTCATCTTTATTAAATAGATTTATTCAGTAAACAAAAACAGCGAGTACGATTTGTTTCCCGCGGTTAACCCTGAGGTCCGGTAACCAACAACTTACCCAATGGGAAATCGATGCCGCCATTACGATTTGGCAACTTTTTTTTTTCCTTCTCTCTATCTATCATCCACATTTTCCCTCCCTGGCGTGAATGCTGTATTGATAAAAGAAAGGGAAAACGAAAGAAATATGAGCAAAAATCTTGTCGTGACCGTGGCTTTGTGGAAAGACCAATAAATAGCACATCGCGTGTACACTTAGATTATATCACAGAACTACTTTCTTTCTTGTTGTCGCCAAACGCCACCATCGATTTTCGATTCGGGCGAGTTATTTGATAAGTGTTTGCTCACCGGGCGGCTACTTTTATTTAATTCGGAACGTCATCAATTAAGTGGCACCTTTTGAAAAGAGCGCCTTCCTTTGTACATGCGGACGCTAATTAATTCACGTGGCAGCGCCAACGCCAAGCCAACAACAGCGAGGAAAGAGTTATTGGTGTATGTGCCAACCAGAATTCTGGTCACGATATTCGAACATTATTCTTTCGCAGGTGTAAAAGTTGTTGGGCAACACGGATTTTAGAAAGAGCTCTAAATTGCACCGGTGCGTGTCTTCTGCTGGAACTTGAAGATACCTCCGTGACCCTTTTAGTGGTGATGCTATCAGCGTCAAACATCTCACCTCTTGTTTTAGAAAGCAAAGTTGAGTTGTTATAAATCTGAATAAAGAATTCCTTTGAAACCTCGAACTATATATTTCAGCACTATGTCAGATTTCAGACAGGAGTGATTCTGTTCTGAAATTTCCATAAGTTTTAAAGCCTTAAGACTCTCTGACCCGGCTGACTTAAAAAAAAGGTTGATCCTCATTCTAAAAATGTAAATATTTATATTTGAATATTTTTATTTAAAAACAGCAGATTGAAAGATTTAAAGCCATTGGAATCTCGAACTATATATTTCAGCACTATGTCTTTAAGACAGGAGCGATTCTGTTCTGAAATTTCCATATGTTTTAAAGCCTTAATACTCTGTGATCCAACTACTTTTAAAAAAATTATCCATATTCTAAAAATTCAAATAATTATATTTAAAACAATCGTTAGTAAATTATATCTTTCGGATTGTAAGTTATATTTAAAAATAGCAGATTGAAAGATTTAAAACCATTGGAATATCGAACTACATGTTTTAGCACTATGTAATATTTAATACAGGAATGATTCTGCCCTGAAATTACTTAATCCAGCTATTAAAAAAAATAATCCTCATTCTGAAATTCATATAATTATATTTAAAACAATCTTTAAAGTGAACTTCAGGAATGTAAGTTATAGCAATTTTTTTTAAAAACAACAAATTGATTATGATAAGACGACAATAAGAAACATCGATATGTTATCGTGATGAAAGTTCACATGAATTATGCTGTCATCGAAAGATAAGTTTTCTTTTTTATATGGATATTTATATCTAGGTTGTCTTAAATGACACACAGAGATACATAATCTTCTAATCGAGATATGTTGTCTTGCATATCTATGTATTTTCTAGTCATGAATTTGAAAAATTGTATTTTAGCTGCAATTAAGTTAGTCATGTTCACGCGATTCCTATTCACGCATTTTATATTTTCATAGTTTGTCGATACCTTATTATACAAATTCTAGCTAATCCCTTCATCAAGTGAGTTTATTTTGATGCTATTTACTACTAGTCTTATTCGCGTGACGAATCAACTTTCTTGACGCTGTATCACATTTCGTGTTCCGTTTTTTACGAATCTTACATTTGAACGACAGCTTATTTGACAGCATATCGCAACGCTAAGTCATTTGATATATCAATCATGCTGAATCGATGCTCAATAGCACATGAGTTTGGAATCGAACATTTGAATAAATGCTGAATTTGAAGCCCTATGCAAACATATGTTAAGAATTATATCAAAAGTAGAGATTTCTGTTAACAAATTTATCTCAGAAAAGCATTATTAACAGATGATATCATCCCTCCAAAATATATTTGGTTTATAAGGTTAGAAATTCATAAAATCTGGAAACGTCTAATGCTCGGGTCCATTCTAAGTTTAAAAAAAATATGTATTGATATTTCTGTTTGGGATAATATAAAAGTTTTGAGAATAATCTATAGTTCTAGAAAAGAACTTTTTTTCCTCCCCATTTTGTTTTATTTTAACAACTTGTTCTTTCTGAATACAGAAAATAAAGCACCAAAATCCAGAAAATATTCTCTGATCATTTCGTAGAAAACAATTGAAACTCTTCTTCAAAACAATGACTGAAAGAAGAAGAAAAAACTTCAACCACATTTGGCAGAATCGGCAATTTCAGTGGAGGAGAAGGACCCCGACAACTCTCCTCTACTCGAGTGTCTCCTTCCGTGTGTTGATCGAAGTAGCAGTCATTGACGAACAAGAGACTGTGACTCACTTTCTCTTCGTCTCAAGTGGGCACGTATGGAACGTTCGAACCCCGAGAGTGTCTTTTGGGCTGCAAGTGCCTCGTCCATCCCCGGAAACATGACATTTTGGAATAGAACCCCCGCTGGCAGAACCTCCTTTCCAAATAAATTGTGCTGATACGACTATTGTATCTTTGTATTACGATTCGAAAAGCAGTTGAATCGAGAATCATTTCGCGAGGGGTGGATGATGTTAAGAGGATGAGGGAATAAGTAGGTGGGGGATAAGAACGATAGTGAGTGAATTTGCGTTCGAAATGGAGTGGTTTTGGAGGGGTGAGGGGAATTTTTATTCTCAGAGATATCCGGAGATGGTGTGGTTTGTATGCAAATGTTAGCGATATTCTTTTCAAGTATCTGAGCTGTCTGTTTGTTTCGAGTTTGGAGGGTGTTTTCAGTAGGATCGAGTGGTTTTTCATTCTATTTCATGATTTCAAATCTCATAGAGTATCACCCTCTCAGGCTTTTGATTCTTCTCCTGCTAACTTGAATAATCTATATGTATTAATATTTTAGCCTAGATTTTGAAAAATTTGCAGAAAAGCCCATATAAAATTCTTATTGAAGATTTATAACCTTAGTTAAGATAATAATACCTTGTATGCAATTTTTTCGACTTAGAAAAATTATATGCATAATCAAGTCAATGATTTCATAATAATTTGTTTACAAAAAAATTCTCGAAGACCCTTTACTTGAAATAATTTTTTCATCTCTTTTTTTTTTCCTTCACATTATTAAAAAATACTGACATTTTATTATCACCTTTAGTTAGAATTGAATGCTATAATACTTTTACCTTTTACTTTGTTCTTTCATAAGGAGCACTGATAATACTTTTTTAAAAAATAAAATTTTTCTTCGTGGCTAACTATTATTTACATGAATGCCATTCATATATTGCGTAAGGTCCTTAACAGAAAAATTAGAAATGCTTACGTACGACACTATTGTAACAAGTGTACGTAACTAATTGTTATGTACACACATGTACGTGCGACACTCAATTCCCTTGCAAATTGTAAAAATAGTTAAAGTTGTGGGCTACATTTTAAAGAAAAATTATATCTTTGCACAAGAAAGGGGTTGCTTATTTTTACTGAAAAAGAGGGGATTGTATAAAACCACCAAAAATATGTCTCTGCAATAAATTACCAAATACAATCAATGAACTGTCTATCTCAACAAAAGAAAATTAACTTCTTTATTCTACAATTCTTATTGGGAAATTTATTCTATTACATTCTACATAATTCTTTGCGATTTTTCACAAAATCACAATAACAGAACCTTATTGCACAAAATTGTGGATAAATTTTTCGCACAAACTAACCTTTCACAAAAAGTTTAGAATAAACCCAGGTATACTGCAATTGCGGTATAATGCAGATTTTTCCCAACATCGCAATAACAGAATCGTAATACACAAAATTATAGGTAGATTTTTAGCACAAACTAAAAAAAAAAAAAAAAAATTAGAATAAACCCAAGTTTAATGCAATTTTTTTTTAAAAATCCGATAGTAAGCTACAGAAAATACTGAATACCTATTTTTATGCTGAAAATCACTATCCCACCAAAACTCTGATACTTTTTCCCTCTGCAACATATCTTTTGATAAGTGTAGCAACTATTGAGAGACACGTAGATAACTCATGAGTGGAGAGATGGAAGAAACCGTTACAAACAGTCACACCTCTAAACCAAATAATGAGATTGCCATTAGGATTCCCTCCACCCCTCTCATCTCAAGTATCCTTCTCATCTTCCCCATCCGATGGGAATACTCATCAAATGTACACTCATCCCTCTTCCTCTCAGAGAGCACCCCTCTGACTCAGCAAGGTATTCATGGTTAGGAATACTATAGATTATAGCTATACTATTTTGTTGCATTTTTATAATGGAGAAAATGGTTATAAGTTTCTCGAGGGATAATGGTTAAATAACAATTTATGCAATTGTTATTTGACCATATTCAAACAAAACAGTCTAATCGTAAATAGATTGTACTCAAACTATTAATTGTGCTAAAAAAAGTTTATTAATTGCTTTCACCTTATACGGTTAAACAACCTGAATTTTATCTCACCAACTATACCCACCTAATGAAGTCACTTGCATCTGGGTACACATTATAACCTAGAGCGCTAATCTATCAATCTCATCACCAACAAAATGGGGGTCCAATCATTGACATCGCACTATTTACTGTATTCCCTTAAACACATGAAGAATTTTCAGTTTCCTGCACTCCTTAATTTGTGATCCTGGACTATTGGAATACGATAATCTCATTCACGCCTAGATGGCAGCTAGATGAAAGCTGTTTCACACAAAAAAGTCTAGTATTTCATATCTCTTACGATAGATGAAACAACCTAATAAACTATTTAAAAATCATTCCACTGTCCATTCGATGAAACACAACTCAACAACAACCTAACTCCAATGCCCATTACCTAACGAAAAGCCTAGCTCCAATGTCCAGTTAAATTTGTTTTTTTATTTTTTTGAGACCATGCAGTTGTGAATAATTAAAAGAGTTTACTTGGCGTTTTAATAAACCTTTAAATGTTGTCATCCGAATATTGAATGTTAACTTTTATTTAATGATATTTATAGTTATTTTTTAAAGAAAAATTAAACTAAATTTCGATATCATAAACTTAAAACACATGAAAGTGTATTCTTTAGTAAAGCCACATAATGATTACTATTTTCATTTTTAATTTGAATAATTCAATTCAAATATAGTACGCTAAAAATGGAATTATAATCGAAGAAATGGTTAAGGATGAGTGATAGTTAACTCTCACTGATAAACCATAAATGAAGCATTCGACTTCATTTCAAAAAATTTAATATTTCTTAGGATACTTAGTTTAAACAATATTTCGTATAAAACAGGCAAAATAATGTGTATGAATAAGTTAAATTGAAATTCGTAATTGAATTGTAATTTAAAATTGAATTGTAATTTTAAATTGAGTAGTAATTGAAAGTCATCGAAATAAGTTATCCATTTCGAAAGCTTAGATCTATTTGGTAAGGTATATATTTGCACTAATAATACTGAACCTTATTATGCTTCACTGCATTATTTCGATAACAAAATGTTTACATATTTATTTATTTATAAAAATGCTTTTGTATTATGCAAAACCTGTATTTATTTAATTTAAATTCAATTAACTTTTATATAATTGAGAGCAATCATTTTAGTTATGTAAATTATTTGCTCTGTCTGGCTGTTGGAAATCTGTAAAGATGTAAACGCGGAAAGATGTAATTTTGTTTTATTTATATATTTAAACTACATTAAATATTTTATAAGAGAAGTCTGTTTTATTGCATTTCGAAACTTTTATTAATTGGATACGCATTATTAAACATACGTTATGTGCTCATTTTTTTATTATTGACTTCCAGACAACAAGAATAATTTTCTTTACTCGTTAAGCCTAATTTCAATGTTCTATTTACAGAAATAATGCAATGTTAGGGGTTTTAATTAGAACTTATTTATATCAGATTCATTGCTAAAATAACCAACTACGAAACCTTGCAATTTGTAACGCAACGCAGAAAATAAGGGAGTTTCCGGTTCAAACATTAGAAAAATAATCACGTTTGTTTTTTAATTTAAAAAAAAACCGCCAAACTGGGTAGCTGGTCGTTTAAGTCCGCTGGAATAGAAAATCGCAGCTGGAAGTAATGTACGAAACAACCAGCCATCGCCGAGTAGCGAACCAGAGTTGGTTCATTCGGAACCATATTCTTTACCTTTGCACCATCCTAGTTAACCGTAGCACTACCCTAGCAACAAAATAACTTGGGCCTTCATTGAACCAACATTCACGAATCTTGGCTCAATAAGGGTTCAAAGAGCCGATATGGGCCCCATATAGAATTGTCCGATTCACCCGATATTTTACTGCTACTTTACTACCAACTTCGGCCCTATATAGAATTGTCCGATTCACCCGATATTTTACTGCTACTTTACTACCAACATCGGCCCCACATAGAATTGTCAGATTCACCCGATATTTTATAATCATTATTCAACCAATATAAGACCTATATTGACCGATATTGACACAGCATAGGACCAATATTTAAAAATCTAGACATCTCAATATGGGTCCCTCGGAGCACGATTGAGCCAATTTTGAACCCAACTGGGGCCAACGTATAATTGATGCTAGGGTAGGTTTGTTCAAAAACCAGGGGTCTGTTTAGAAGAAATTTGGGTCCGTTAACGGACCCTTCACAAAATATCTTTTCATAAAAACGGGCCCTTCACAAAATATTTTAACTTAAAAACGGACCCTTCACAAAATGATTTTTCATTTAATCGGACCCTTCACAAATTTGTTTATCCTCATTATTATTTTGTTAATCGAATAAACCCTTCCCAGGGCAGAAAACAAGAAAGATGGATGTAAACGAATTAAGTTTTGTCTTCGGCAGACGATTCTTCCATTATTCGTACGAAATTAATATTCTGCGTTCACCAGTATAGGCTAAATACCAAATGTTGCATCTCTAATTTAGAAGCAGCAATTGCGGTTTATTTTTGAAAATTTAATTTTTATGTTATATTTTTACAATGCCGAGCATAATCTATTTACAATTTAAAAACTCCTTGAAAAAGTTTTTTGCAATAACCGGACCCTATTTGCACAAATTCATAAAAGCGGACCCTGGTTGAAAGAATGTGAGTAATTTTTTCACAATTTCACGAAAAACGGACTTTTCACAAAATGTCTGGACAGAGCCCTGAAAACTCTCCATTGTTCTTTTAAAAAATAAACTTATTACATTCATCTGTTATTTATTATGTATCATTATATTTACACTGTAGTTATTATATTTACATCATTATATATTTTAAACTGGATGTATTATAAGCAATTAAATCGCATTCAAAGCATAAATATCATCACAGGACCCGACCTCTTTAAACAACTTTTTCCCCCTTCAAAAAATTCCGACAGCAAAAGGTCAAAGCAAGACTAAACTTGTTCCGACAAGTTTTATCTGTTCTGTAATCTTTCCACAATGAAACGTCAAATAAATTCAACGCTATAAGATCCATGAAAACATCTACGCCAACCCCTTTTAATCCCATCAGCAAGGTCGAAATCTTTTTAAACCTCAAGCCCCATAAAAAGTCACAGATGCACAAAAGGCTCCCGGAAATGGAACAGGGAGCTGGAAACACTCCGGGATTCAATCCCAAATTACCCCATAAGCCCACCACATTATCCACCTCCCCACTTCTATGGAAACCTTAATCCGGGTATGGAACACCCGCTGCCTGCTAATCGGGCAATCCTCTCCCTTCACATGCCCTTCCATTTTGGCCTCCCTTCTATCAAAATCCCTCCGTTGATCCCGACGACCTGTCCCTCCCTCAACCATAAATCTTCCATCCTTAATTGCCCCCCTCCCAGTTTACTGGAGAACATCCCGAATTTTATCCAGTTTTATATGTCTGTTCTTAACCGTTAGACTAGTTTTACTTGGCAAAGATATAGATTTTCTCTTCGTTGTCATTATTTCTGGACTTGGTGTTAACTTGTCCTGTAACCACATTGAAAAAATGATTAATAGGTAATTAATTCATTGTAATGTCATCGCGTGTCATTAAGTTGAATATTGACTATAACTGATTTTCTGTTAATTTAAGATTAACTATTAACTCACTTCACTTGAATTGAATTTCCAAATGCTCTGAGCTTTGGCTAATAAATAATTGTTTTAGTGTCCTAATACGATTGCGAAACAATTATTTAGAAGTAGAACGTGTTGTGTTGTTGTTTCTAATGCACTTTGCCAACAACAGTAAGCCTGTTTTGTGAAACCAAGCAAATAGTAAAATGTTATTGATATGAATAGTTTTTCTTTGCGTTAAGATATTATCCATTTTTCGCACTAATTCGATGACTGGGAATTATTTGAAAAATGAATATTACGTATGAGCTTTTTTACTTTAAATAAGGATTATAAAATAACTCTCAGTCAATTTGTTTCAATTAGTTAGGAGTTAAATACATTTATGAATTATTTTTCTTTAAATTAATATTATATTATTACTATTTATTATTAATTTATTGTGCTAATACAATTGCGAATCAATTAGTTAGGAAATGAATATTATCTATGATTGTTTCTCTTTAAACTAAAATAATAGGATATCGCTTATTTAATAATTTTATTTTAAAGAAAAACAATTTCTAAATCAGTTTGCAAGCGTAGATGATGAAGGTTCCTCATTATAGAATCTTAAGCATGTCTGTTCGAAATTATTTATACCTTTTTATCGTTGTTTAAGTTCGTTCAACAAGCATAGTCCAATCTCGGAAGATAAAATATTTAAATCTTGCTGCTCTAAATGATTAAAATCTTCCTTTTAATGATTGAATCACTAATTATTTTTTCTTTCTATTCTTAAGTGCCTACAGAAGCTTAACTTTTTTTTACCGTATGATATGACACTGAAGCATACCTTACCCCCAGGAAAAGAGGACGCCGCTTATGAGTTTTTAAACGCAGCACTTTCTTAAGTACACTTAACATCCGAGATTTTTGGTGACATTATTTTAAGTCCCATCCATCTCTCTCCCCTAATCTCTGTCTCCAGCGTAAAATGCTACAGACAAAACCGACTTGTGCCAGTAATAATTATAGTATAGAACAAGATAACACAAGACTCAAACCGAAATAATCTCAAACCCATAACAATGGTGCCATACAAAAGATAAAGACGGTAAAGATGCAGCACAAAAACAACTCAAAAGAATGTGACCATGTGTGCCCGACTCTTCAACGGTACT